GGATAATTAGGCTTAATTAAGGTTAGTTATAGGGAAATCTATGGGAGGGTAGTATAGAGGGGGGTAGTAGGGGAACCCATGGTACACCCGTCAAGAACTGGCGAGATGGGTGGTTTCTTGATATGATCCCTGTAGTACTCTTCAGTAAGCCCCCTTAGTCCCTATATGTCCCTATATAGACCCCATATGAAATGTGTATATAAATGTATATATACATATGTATATATGTATCTATGTTACATGTAATGAACCATAATGAATCTATCTTTTGGGGCCCGGGTCGCCAAGGATACCCCCAACCATGAGAAACCTTCACAACTATTTGCCGAGCTGCCTGACATCTAGCCACGGATAGAGAAGCACCTGCCCGCATGAGAACAATGCTGTTCGAAGGCTGACCCTGTAAGAGACCCCGAACCTAAACCTAAACACCCTATTATGACAGACCTATAGAACCCCTGATCATCATTGCCTGACCCCTACATGTTCCCAGTTGGAACTTTTTGTTTAATTTGGTTGTCCGCTCCTAAGCCATGATCCAGAAACCCTAAACCCTAATCCCTTAACCCTAAACCCCCCTGAGATCATGTCCAACCTGCAGTGCTATTCTGGGTCCATCCAACGCCGCACGCAGTGCGCATGCCTCAGCCACACCAAGGCTTGACAAAGTTTAGGGTTTAGGGATTAGGGATTTTTAGGTTTTAAGGATTAGGGTTTAAGGATTAAGGTTTAGGGATCAGGGTTTAAGGTTTAAGGTGTTTTATGCACTGAAATGGTGCTGGCCGCGGGGCAAGGCTGGAATCCGGCAATGTTCTGAACACACAAAGCAGGCCCAAACTTTGGGTTTAAGGTTTAGGGTAAGATACTCCAAGTACCCAAGTAGTAAATGCATAGGACGCAATGCGTCTATATAGCGACCCATCTGTGCCAGAAGTATACGCGATCCAGATACTTGGGCCCTTAGTGGAAGGCTCTCCCATCTTCAGCACTTGCGTCGTTCACGGCACTGGTTCAAGGGCATAAGAATCACGACAGGGCACCTGAAAACAAAGGCCTGGCTGTAGCGGCATTTCGAAGCAAAGCGCTCATCAAACATGGATCCTGAAACACGTCCTCCACAGTGACACCCAATGAAAGCTACGCTTGAACAACTGGGCGGCACCTCGGAAACTCCAAGACCCTGAAATCCCAAACCTCCTGCACCTCGAACCCTTGGATCCCATGCCCCCGGCATAGTCTGCTTTTAAAGTGGCCGCGGCAAGGCCGCCACCAGCGGCGTCACCGGCGAGGGCCAGGAAGGGAGGGGAGTAGCCCAAGCCTCCTTCGAGCTCAAGGTTCTTGCCTATCGTCTATACCTAGACACCTCCGAAGCATGTTAGCCCCGAACAAGAGAATGCCAAAAAAGATGACAGCAATGATGACCAAACGTAAAATTACAACTCTAATGGTGATATATACCAAGCCAATCATTTCGAAGCTAAAGGCTACTCTTGTGGGTACTTGGAAGGTCTAGGTAGGGTTTAAGGTTAGGCGGCTTCGTCTTCAGGGCTTCAGATGATCTTGAAGGCAGGCATTTCAGAGGCAACCACTGTCGCTACCACACACCCATTCAGGGCTTGGGATTCAAGCCCTGCCAGCAGATGTGTTTATTTCTCTTGTGTGTGTGTGCACATATATATATATATATACATATATATGTGCACAGAGCAGGAAATACTTACCGCAGTTAGGATCCGCCATGGCCGGTAAGCCACCGACACTACCTTAGGTTTAGGCTCTAAGCCAGGCTCGCCCGGAGCTCCAAACCTCAATCTTGCATTTCATGGCTATCCTTTGGGCTGTCCCTTGGGATATGAGCCATGGTCTAAACTCCTAGTATCCCCCTTAATAACCCCTATAGTAGTCCCTTAATAATCCCCTATATAGCCCCCCTTTAAGGAGTTTAGACTATGGCCCATATGTATGCAGCACCTCAGATCCTAAATCCTAAAGCTTCAGTACCCCAAGAAGGAGGAAAAGGCGGCGTAACGGACTACCGGCGAATGCCTAAGCCCTCAACTGAAGCCTCGATTCCAAAGCCTTCACTTGTTTGAGGGTTTAGGGTTCAGAGTTTAGTGTAGCTGAAAACTTCCAGATACTGGCGCTGCTAGCCTTAGGGTTTGGAATGTGGAAGTTAGGGCAATAATTTCCTCACCTAGTTAGTAATAAACCAACTTCGCAACCCCCCTAAACTTGAACATTCACCCTAATATACATTAATGACATCCTATCGGGGCCCTGTACTACTATGTAGGGTGTCAAGGCCCTTAAACCCGACGCTGCCTTCCGCAACCCAACAGACTGATCCAAAGGCGTCGTTGAAGGCCCCTGGAAATCGCACTTCAGGTGGCTGCCGGTAGGCGACTGACACTACCTTAGCAATTCCCAATTGGAAACTGGTAGTACAAAGGCTTATAAAAGGTGATATGGATTGTAGGGACATGTAAGGGACAACAGAAACTAGGACGTTATTTAGGGCTCAGGGCTTAGGATTAATTAAATGAGACTATGCCTCCCTGCCACAATAGTACCATCATATATTAGCAGGAATATCTATTCTCAGGGGGTGGGGTGTTCATTACTAGTGTGGTTGAACCACACAAGCTTGCAATTCTCTCATACACTGCTACTATCTGCTACTACAACGAAAATAAGCTTACTCTAAATCCCGCTTCAGCTCGCACAATTTCGCACCTTCAGCTTGGAATTTGAAAGCTCAAAACTGAAGTTTACTGCTCTTGTCGGGGGCTACGGCTGAGGGTTTCGGATTCTATGGCTAAAGGGACTCTACTGGGAACCCCAAATAGGGAACCACAAGACTATAGTAGGAATATAATGGAATATAAGGACCCTGGTGGGTATATTCCTATAAAATTCCTACTATATTCTTGGGGTTCCCTGTTTGGGGTTCCCAGTAAAGTCCCAATAATGGCCTTTTGGAGGTTGCAGTTGGCTACTTCGGCCTGAGACTTTATAGGATTTACAGGAATTGTTTGGACTAAGGCTTTGGGTCTTCAAGTTCTACGGTCCGGGGTGGTTTGGGTTTAGGCCTTTCAAGATGTGGACCTTATGGGATTCTAGGGCTTTAGGGTGAAGATTCTGTGCATTGCCCAATATCATAGCAAACATTTTCAAGGAAATGGTGCGTTCCCAGAGTCCCGTTCAGTCAATACAGTCTCAGACAGCATCCCATGCAAACCACACAACAACGCACGCAACGACGGCACCCCTGCAGAAATGATACAAAATTGTCACGCCATCGCGGCATTTCCAGAGGGTTTAGGGTTCACGGTTTAGAGACACTACACTACGACTGATAATATCTCAAAGCCTATACTTTGCTTTTGCGTTCACAGTTACTAGTACAGGGTGGTGGCACCTGCCTACACAACCATACTTTGCACATCCCATAACGACATAAATTCCAGTATATATTCCTTATAAACCAATCAAAAATTCAGGGCAACCTCCCTGTAGGGATGCCTTCCTTCAACGACAAGGTGCTGCGGCCCGCGATAGGACAGCCAGCGATTCACACATCCAGCCATGTGTGTCTAAATCGCCAGCGACATAGCTTTCCCCATGGAAGAAAACCTCAGTCGCACGGTGTAGGGTGTAAAGTAGGAGGCTAGCTTTTCAAAAAAAAGAGTGATTTGGGGTATGATCTACTTTAGCTCTAAGGATCATATGGGGCTTGCTTAACTAGAACAGCCCTACAAGGACTAGATGGGGATAATGTGGGCCATGATTTCCTAAACCCTAAACCCTATAAACTTCAGGCGTCTACATTAGCCCAGACACTGGGAGTCCTGGTTGTGGGTCAATCCAGTAAGGATCTAGGTAGGGCGCGTCCCATACATGGGTTAGAAGCGCAGTATGGGGTCCTGTGAAGGTGCTATAAGTCCTACATACGGCCGCTGTAAATGGGCTACATGGGCTAGGTAGACTACTAGGGTTATATTCGGGCTATATGGGGATAACATGGGATAACGGAAAAGAAAATGGAAACTACTATTTAGGGCTTAGGGTAAACCCTAAACCCTATAGTCCCCCTTAGGGGCTACAAAGGCTAGGTAAAGGATCCTCAGTCTGTTTTTGGGTCGCGCGAACTAAGCAATTTCACGAGGCATGGGCTTACTCTAAGCATCCCTTCACCTCTTTAGGGATCCGAATAGCCCAATGTAGGTCATATTTACCGACTTTAGGGCCCAATGTTGTTGTTATTTGGGGGTTTCCTGAAATTAGGGGTGCGCTTCTTGGCGGTCCCTATAATAAGGACTATGGTATTTGGGGTCTATATTGGGGTCCCCTTATTTTGGGAAACTACCATTTGTCTACGCGGATCCCTAGGGCCTTTCATGAAGACCTGACAGGGATTGCAATAGGATCGCTTGCGAGTCTTTGCGGTTACATTTGCAACACCAAGTGGCTAAGTGGTCAAGGCTACGGTTTTCGGTCCACGAAGCTTATAGCATTGACCCCAAACTCAAAACTCAAAACCCCTGAACTCGTAAATCGTACACCTTCAACTTAAACGCTAAGCCCCAAACCCCGTTGCAAAAGCCTTCCTCTACCTCCCACCTGGCTTCTGCACATTCAGACCCTGATCCAAACACTGGGTGTCTTAGCTTGGCACCATGGACCCAGGCCTTTACCTTCTTGGGGGGGTCTAAGGATCCATCAGGCTGCATATAGAACATGTACTGGGTTTACCAGGTTTCCAAGGTTTTGAGGCACACAACGTTACTTACAAGTTCTTAGTACGAAATAAGAGAAGAATATGAACCCTACATAATCCCTGTATAGTTTAGCCTTTAAGTCCAGACTAAGCCGAAGTAAGATTAGGCAACTCACTAGTGGCCAATACTATAGAGCTAGGCCTTTACTCCAAGGCGTCCACGAAACAATCACTGGCGGCTCGCTGAGTCCAGGCGGCGTATACCGGCGCAAGGCTATCCTTGGCCATTTTAAACTGAGGCTCCAATTTATTCACAGACTTTTCTAGGGCAAGTATTTGGGATGTTGACCTCCAAGGTCCCCTGCATTCGGGTTTAGGGTTTAGGGTTATGAGGAAAATGGGAAACAATTCCAATAGCACAGCCCAGTATCCGGATTTCGGCTTCCTCCTCACCGGTCCTGACTGGACCACCATCACGTCTTGCTTTAATTCTAGGACGCAAAGTGAGGCGCCCGCGGGAAATCGCGTTGAGCAAGTCATAAGCCAGTACAGCTACTGTGAAGCAACACATACTATCTTCCTCACCACTGCTGCAAGTAGCCTTGACAACAGTGCAGGTTTGGAGTTTAGGTAGTATGAATCTAGAAAGGCATAAGATGAGTGAAGGATTTAAGGGTGCTTGCGCTTACCAGTTCTCAGGCTTCAAACCCATCAACCCCACACCCTGAACCCCAATCCCCGGCATCACCTTGAACCCAAAACTGACCCTTGCTGACCCCTAAAGCGATGGCCTGCAAGGGAAAAGCACCAAGGACTGAATGTGCAGACTGCTGGGCACTTGTACTTGTTCTACACCATACCAAAGTATGTGCTGAATGACGCGTAGGGGACACTGGGTCTATAAGCCAGTGCTCAGATTCGGGCCTTTTTGGTACTCTTGCAGGCTTGGCTTGAGGTCCGAACATCGCCAACATGTCGCCTGAAGCATCCGACCCTGCACCTAACATCGCTACCCGGCACCCTTGCATCGCCAAGTATCTGTCGCAAAGTCATTTGCCTTTGCTTGGATTGGGACTCTAAAGGTCACCATGATATGCTTTGGGGTTCTTACGATAATAACTTAGGAGGACCCCCCACCCTGTAATAGAGGTATAAGAAGAATATAAGAGGACCCTAATATGATCCCTACTATCCCTTATAGTCACTATTACTGGGTGGGGGGTCCACCTAAATAATAACCGTAATGACCGTCAAAGGGGAGGTTTTGGAGGTGAAGGCTTGGCCTGGGGTGTGGGATTGGCTTCGCTGTCAAAGCTCCGGGCTGAGTTGCTTAGCCATGCGGGGGTAACGCACAGAGTCAGGTGAAAAGTTGTTCCGGATATTCTGGCTCCTTTTATGTGTAGACCTAGGGTGTGGAGCCGAGTACATGGATTATGGTTTTGGGCAGGTAGACAAAAACCCAAGCCTCTTGCCTGTCAGGGTCCCAGACAATCCCAGGTTCCATCTCTTTTCTGTTTCCTGTCCACTTGATTCCGCCTTCTTAGCCCTGAACTCTACACCCTATGTCCTATGTAACCCCATAAAAATCTTGTTATTCCTTCATATGTAGCTCTTTGCTTTTTGGTGTTTGGTCTTGAGACTGCCGCTCAGCTGCAAATCGTCCACGGCTACCCTTTGCCTCGACACCGGCGAGCTGGGCGTTACGTTGCTAAGCGCCGCCTCGCGAAAATCCTGCGATTTAGGGTTTAGGGTTTCTGGCTGCTGCTTAGGACAGAGGAGGAGTCTAAGATTAGAAGCTTCATGTCTTGGGCTTAGGATGTAAGGCTGAGTAGGGCTCCGGGCTGATGGCTCTCTCTCTCTCTCTCTGCCAGCTACAGAAGTAAGGGGTTGCAGAAAAGGAGAAAGAGGTCCCGGGCAGCCATAGCCTGGGGGGATTACATGTAGCTTAATGCACGGATAGCTAATTGAGAATGTGTCGGGCTCGACGGGAGCATAGCTTGGATTGACAGTAGCTGTTGCGCAAGATCCTGGACCTTGCCACCGCACTCCCCCCGTGTCCTGCCGGACGTTGGCGACCTGGACACCAACATGGAAACACAAAGAAAACTGAGCAACAGCAACCCCAGAATATAGGTGTTGAAGGCTTGTTGGCGCATCGTACGCCGTACACAATGCAGGCCTCTAAGGGGGACCTATCCTGTTTTCGGATTACCGTGCTAGTACTCATAGAAACTAGTGATGCCAGGTACGGACGTGCGAAGTCTGTCAATACAATGAATAGCCAGAGGAATCAAGAGCACCAGTTACACAAGCAATATCCTGCCAGCCCGGAACACCTGAACCCTACCAGCAGGAAACCCTAAACCCTTAATCTGCTTACCCCTTCCTGTCTCCCATAATACTCCCCGAAAAAAAGCCCGTTAAGGAGTTTAGACTAAACCCTAAACCCCTAGCTCATATGATCGCACAAGGCCATGGGGCTCTCTGCGCCAGCGGCATCCGGCTAAGCTGCAGTCTTCGCAGCGCTTGCCGCGCAATGGCGCCTCCAGCCTTCCCACGCCAATAATGTTATGGGATTTAGGATTCATGGGATTTAGGATGTATAGGATTTAGGATTTATGGGCTTTAGGATTTACAGGATTTAGGATTTACAGTCGAAGAGGATGAGTTCCTAGAATGGGAGTCTCTCTGACGTTCTCCAACTTACAACAGCCCCTCTTCAGAGGTCTTTCTTTAAGGGATTCACAGACAAACATAAAAAGCGGCACATGGCGGTCACACATGGCTTCAGAAGTTTCACCAGCTTCTGTAGCCCCCTTAAACCCGTAATGAAATCAAGGTCTTTATTAACTCCTAAGGTTATACCCTAATTGTAAAAGCCGAAAGAAAATTCGTACGGCGACTGTAGCTTTTGGAAGGGGCCTGCTGAATGTGGATGGGGCCTCATACTACCGTTAGAGAAGCAATACAATGGAACCTGATGGGTCATGATTGGGTTACGGTTCGGGCTTTAGCTGCCACATACTTGCATATAAAGATGATTGCCACTTTCTGAGGTCTACCTTTTTCTCTTTAAATCCTACACCCCTAAATTCCAAAACCCCAAACCCCTGAAGCCAAAACCCAACTAAGCTTTTGCATGGACCTATGAGCAGCTAGGTTTCCGGAGTTCCAGCTCCAACCAATCCCAGTCCCAGCCTCACTAAACCCTAAACCCCCAATTCCAGAAGCTGCACAGAGCCTTGTACTCGATGCAATGGGCCCCAAACACACGCAACAGCAACTTCAACATTGTGTGTTAACTGCCTAGGGCCTAGGGTGTGTGTGTGTGGGGGGGGGGGGCACCAATAATCCTCAATCATAAGGCTACAGTCCCGAATACGATTGGCTTCAGGGTGTAAAGTAGAGACGTAAGTGGCTAGACAAAAGGGTTGTTGGGCATATGATACAACGTGCAGTTATACAAGGAGTAAAAGGGAATAGTGCTGGCAATTGTTCAGGATTCTACATGGGGTTCCAAAAGAATATCATGCTTATGATAATGGCCTGCTGAAACATGGCCCCCCCATCTTTTTGTAAGCCCTAGCATTAGGGCTTTACCATGCAGAGCCGTCCTCTAGCTGCCGGAGGATTCGATCGTTCTTCCGCTTGGCCTCCAACCGGATGCAATCATGTAGTTAGCCAAGCATCCATCAATCAAACGCCATCTTGACATCGTTTGACTACAGTTGGGTTTGAAAGGCAATACGCACTGTAGCAATATAAATTATACGGCACTATTATTCTATTCAGGCTTCTAGCTGTGGACTCCCTTTCCTGGATTGAGCATCGCCTTGGGTTTACCGCACCTCTACTGCGTGGCGCCAATTTAAAGAAAAAAACCGCACGACCATGATTGATAGGACATATACCTATGCGTAGCCCTATTGCAACTTACTTATGGCCTGGGCCTGATCTATCGCTTGGGGCTGTAGGGCCGCATCGCTACCCCAGTATGAGAGGCCCCATCCTTACCCCAGTATCCTGAGACCTAAGCCCTCCCAAACCCTGAACCCATAGCCCTCAACACTCCCAACCAGTAGGACCATTAGCCCTGCTGCAACAAGCAGGCTTCACATCCGGCGTTGGGCTTAATTAAACCCTGCGGCCTAAGCCTTCGACCCTAAACCCTGTGCCCTGGGAGATACCGGAATGTCTATACGGGTATGAAAGAACTTAGGGTTTAGGAGCAATTTAAGGTTTGGGCTTGGGGGTTCGGGGCCCTACATGCGTCCAATAATGGAGAAACATATGGGACATGAAAAGGAACATGAGATGGAGAAGAGGTTTATATCAGGTGTCTTTGGGGTCATGCGATGCAGAACCTTGAATTATGACCAATAATATAATGTGACAAACTGACTGACGGACCCTTTACGATAGCTATACAAGGAATCTTGGACCATATTTCTGGTAAGCCCTAAACCCTAAACCAAGCATCGGGCTTCTGCATTGATCGTGAGAAAGGCGTCTAGACTTCCTATGCATGCTCAACACAGGCCCTACCTAGCACCTGCGGAATCTCGACTAAAAATTCCACAGCGCTGAGCTCTAAACCCGATTTGAATCATTTAGGGTTTAGGTTGGGTACTGCCCCCACCCCACCCAGTAACAGTCTATATTATGGGTCCTATTAAGGGCTATTTCTAGCATAGTATAATGATTATCCAACTGTTCCCGGGGGGGGTGGGGCAGTACAAAAGGTTTAGGTGTATTTCCCATCTTGGTTTTCCAGTTGATTCTCTTTTCTCACCCCAGTGAAACACCTAAACCCAGAGACCCTAAACCACAAAACACTTGACCCCTAAACCCTTAATCCCTAAACCCCTAACCCCTAGACCCTAAATCCCTAAACCCATAAACCCTCAGGCGCGCCTTGGTGCTAGACTTGTTGGAGGCCTCGACAGCCTCCAACTCTGATTGCGCCTTGGCCATTCCTGAACTCCACAAGTTTCAGGTTCGGAGTTTCCGTTTGTTCTGGCTTCCGGGTTTAGGATTTAAGGTTTAGGGGTTGAGGGATTTAGGATTTAGGGGTTTAGGAGTTGAGGGTTTAGGGATTTAGGGCGTAGGCGTTTAGGATTCAGCCTTTATGGGTTTAGGGTTTTGGGGATGTAGGGTTTAGGGTTTAGTGTTTAGGGCTTTCGGTGTAGGGTGTGGGGCTTAGGGTCTACTTGGAGGGTCATGGGGACTTAGTAAGTGGGCTAACAACCCCTATAATCCATATAGTGACCCAAATTATCCCCCTGATTAACCCATTTACTACGTCCCCATGACCCTCCAAGTAGGGTGTAGGGTTTCGGGTGGATATCCTTATCCTCTGGTACTATGAGGAACATCTCTATCTATCAGTTTGCTTATGCAAGGTTTTTGAGTGTTTAGGGTTCATGGTCGGAGGTTGCAGGTGTGGGTTTCATTATTTCACGGAGAAGCTCCATACACCCTAAACCCTAAATCCTAAACCCTGAACCTGCCCCCCCCTCCCCAAATCGGCGACCAGATGTCAGTTGCAGACCGCTGTCATCTTTGATGGGTCAAGTTCGATGTTGCTTTGTCGGCGCGGCTGCAAACCCCTAAACCCTTACCCTGGGGATCCAAATAGCCCAATGTAGGTAATAATTACAGACTCTGTACCCTAAACCCTAAGCCCTAAACTCTATAGGCCCTAAACTCTATAACCCCTGAACCCCTAAACCCCTTATAAGCCCTAAACCCTAAACCCTTGAACCCCTGAACCCTTGAACCCTTAGGTTTTGGAGCCCCAGGCTGGTTGGTTTTCTAAGTTCAGTCCAATGGTCATTGGTTCGTCTGCTACCTCCCTCTATACTAGCCCCCCAGGTTCTCCCTGAATTAACCGTAAGTAAGCCCAACCATCCTAAAACAACCTTATGTAAGGGGGTGAACCTAGGGGGGGTGGTACTATAGAGTGGTAGTATAGAGGGGGGTAGTAGGGGACCCCATGAAATGCCTTGTGGGCTTAGCAGGTGCCCCCAGGCTGTGAAAAACACCCAAGCCCAAGAACTGTTTGCAAGCCCAATTACCTACAGTTAGTGGGATAGACCTAGAAATACAAAAGCCCAATTACCTCCAGTTTTATGGGTTAGACCTAGAAATTGAAAGCACAAATACTCTGATCTTAGGAAACCTGTCACCAAAACGGATCCCTAAGGTTTACCCAAAGCTTTCAAATCCTAAGCCCTAGACCTCATGCGCCCCAAAAAATACATATGCGTATATGCTCTATAAATGTACATCGGCCCCCTTGTTTAGATAAACTATGGGGTCTATGGGGATCTTGTTATAATATACTCAAAGCCATATTCTATCTACCTGAGGGGGACTATATACACGCAACCAAGAGACCTACTGAAGGGAACCCTCGGTCCCTAGTGCTTTCAACCCCATAGGGTTTAGGGTTTAGGTTTTACGGTTTAGGGTTGATGAGTTGATGCCATAGGTAGGCGCAGTGAGACTGACACCTTTTATTCGAGCCACAAGGGGCTCTAGGACATTGCCTCGAGATGATTGGGATTTTACCGTACTTTGTTGCCAGTCCCTCAGAATCGTCCCTGTATAGTCCTGAATAAGAACCCCCTTAAACCCTAGGGCACTAAACCCTAAACCTTTTAAATCTCTGTATAAATCCTACGTATCCCAAAGGGACACCTGTTTTGCGAAACCTCAGTAGACACCAAGCTTCTCTTCTCGATCTCCTCCTTTTCATCGAGAAGCTCTGTGATCTCCTGCTCAATTCCCCTAGTGTAGAAGCCAAAATGAACACCAACATCATCTTGAAGTCTATTTGATGTACCCTCTACTATAACCATATAAGGAAGGTGGGACTGCAACACCTTTTGAAAGTTCGAAAGCTCCTCAGTACTTGGAGGTCTAGATGTATAGTCCCCTGAGTATGCTTATAGCCGTGCTATAACTGCACCCTGAACCCCAAACCCTAAATCCTGAACCCTAAAATCCAAAACCCCTAAACCCTAAATCCTAAACCCCTAAACCCTAAATCCTAAACCTACCATAAACCCTAACTCAATTAAAATTGCCCTGAGCCTCTAAGGAGGTCTTCAAGTTGCACCAAGTAGGCTCTTTCTAAGGCCTTAAAGGCCTGATGTATGTACTTTGGGTACTGCCTCCTCCCCAGTAACAGTCTATACTAGGGGTCATATTAAGGGCTATATACATATATATATATAACCCGAATATAATTATGATCCAACTGTTAGTGAGGGGGGACAGTACCCAATATGTACTTCTTGTAGACTTATAAATTAAGGAGAAATACATAGGCTGCGACTTAGTTTAATGGTTAACCCCTTTTAACCCTGCTTACTCATTTCCTAACCATCCATTCCCTAGGGATCCATGTACACAAATATTACCTACATTGGGCCCTAAAGTCTGTAAATATTACCTATATTGGGCCATTTGGATCCCGAGGGATTTGATTATCATCCATCTTAACAGGCTTTAGGGTTTAGGGTTTAGGCTGTAGGGTTTAGGGTTTAGGGCTACGCTGAAGTTGCAAGTTGAAAGTGCACAGTTTGGGTGTTCAGCAGGCCACGCCAATTGTTTTGAGTAGCTTTGCAGCGGGATCCGAGTCTGGACAGCCGTCATCGTAAGTCCTAGATTCTAAAGTCATGTACAGTTTCCTAAGGTCTCAAGAGGACCCCAAAAACATGGAATATTACCTACTGGACTACTACCCTAAACTTGGAATGTAGAAGCCTCGCAAAATCCATGCCTGGAGCTCTTGTCAAAGTTCCGTGAAAAGAATGCAGAGTGGCAACTATGGCAGCCGCCGCCAAGTAAGAACCCCACACCTGATACTAACTACCCTAAATAAAGATGAAAGCTGATATGGCCCCCTTAAGGGACAGTAGTCTTTGTAGCGCACCTGGGTTCAGTCGAGAAAGCTGACCCTTGAAGAGCGATGAAACATATATAGTCTCCAGCTGATACATGGTACGTATCTCAGGTGTTTGGGCAGGGTGCGGCTCCACAGAAGAAACCGTTGGCGTCGTGTGCTCCAGTTTTTCTATGTTATCAAGAGAGGGGTTAGGAGACCCTCCACAATGCCAACAGAACGCGGCCTTCTCCACGATGTCTCGTTTGGCTTTGATGTCTTCAAAGGTAGTGGTCATTTCGTCATAATAGCCTGTGCAGTCTGGATGGTGGGGCAAGAGGAGTGGGCCTACCCCAGTAACGGACGGCTGCCCTTCAGTTCATACATGCTTGGGATCAATGACATGATGAAGTGTCACTACTCAGTAGTCACTCTCAATTATATCATTAAGCTTGGGAGCATGATTCAAACTTCCGAGACCTTCCATTACAACGCTTCAGGGTGAGTGGGGGAGCCGATCCGCGTAAGAAATCCCAATTTGAAATACTATATAAAGGCACCTGTGTTCACTCCCTCACGCGCCCTTTAGATCCGCTAAAACTCCAAGCCCAATACCTCCCTCTAGATAGTGCATCCTTGTAGAAACACCAATAGCAGGGTACCCCAGAATTATTCCAATTCCCAATTTCAAGCCTTTTTGGTACGATTCCCTATATCAACCCACCATTTCGTCGCTTTAAGTTGCCCCGGCAGTAAGAGTCCAGCAGCCTTTCCGCGCTAGGACGTCCATGACCTCCCTATGTCTGGGCTGCTTCGGCATGGCTCCGGGTTGGCTTTGGCTGTCCGACTTTGGGACGTGAATGCCAGTGAGCCACCCCTTGGGACGGCAGGCTGCGGAAGGCACACAAGAGTAGCGTTTTTTTTGTGGTTAAACCCAGTAAGATTACATTCCTTGTATAACATATTATACCCAAAAGGAGGATAGAATCTTACTCTATATTGGGTACCATAGTATCCCCAAATAAAATACTACTCACAAGGGAACTTAAGTTGCAATCTGCACGTAATACTAACAGTGACAGCAAGAAATTTCCCGTTTGTGAATATCAGAATCCCTCCAGCATATTGCAGCACAAATCAAGCCAACCCCTAATGGGACTCCTAGCTTTTTAAACCTCCAGACAGCTCAAAACCACCAAGCAATAGCGGTGCAAAGATCCAAAGTACACTTTGACCCAAACATCTCTGCCTGTCACAAGGCAAACCTTTTGCAGCACCCAAAATGAATTCCTTCGCGTGCGCTTTTATTTTGCTCAACTTTGATGCAGCTCGTACTTTCCCAAAGCCATGCAACACATAGCGAATGATCTTTGGTAGGCATGCATTTGTTGCGGCAGACGTGCTACGCACGACACATATCTGTCAAAGGCCAAACGATGTTTCAGTCACGCTTTTACTGGAATGTGGGAGACTCACTCTAAGCTGAGGGTCTACTGAAAATCCGTCTTCGAATGAGCCTTGAAGGCCGAAGCACTAATGCTGTACCCCCGCAACCCGGTCTGAAGGTTACCGCTCAAGAATATGGTTATCACTGGGTTAGAAGTTGTGCTAGATATAGTTGGGATATACTGCACCAGGTATGTGTTGGTATGCCCCAAGTGTGTGGGAATGGGTCGTAAGCCCTCTACACCGTACTGGGTTGGGCCTCTCAGGTAAAAGATAACGCGACAGGAATTCCACAAGTATGATTTGTTTGTTCTGGGACATATAAAGACAAGTTGACACTATAGCCGCTAGACCAACCCACTGAAAACCCAAACTTGAGAAAAAGTGCGCACCTCCCTCCTTGCACGCCGCGTCAACCATGGGGAGGGCTCTAGATCGTAAATCCTGAACCCCAAAAACCCAAACCCTACCATGATAGGGTTTAGGGTTTAGGGTTGTTTCCCCCCATTCCCTAAAATCAGGATCACAGGACTACCACAGTGGTGCAAGCCTAATTCCTATGTTGTACAAACCCTAAACTCTCTCCTTAAAGCCCCAAAACAATGGAGCGTTCTGGAGTAATACAGGGGCCTTAAAAATTGCCAAAATCATTATGAGGTGTATTTGCGGTACCCTATACTGTAAGCACGCAATATGTCTAGCACGACAACATTGGCAATTATCCCTATAAACCACTAGAAAAACACCAGTTCCCATGCCATCGCCCATTTTCTTTTCCATTTGAATATACAATTCTATTTTTGGCTGAATAGCCCTAAACCCTTAGCCTTAGATAGTCCGTATATAACCTCATAATAATATTGGTAACTATTTAGCCCAAAGCCCTTAACCTTATATAGTCATATAGTCCCTATGTGAACGTACCTCATAATAGTGGTAATTACTCGGTCCCTATAGTAGCCCGGGCCTGGCCTCAGTGATCCCTTGCTCAGGGAAAGGATCTGAACCTGACAGTGTCTAAGGTTTGGAACTTAAGAGCCCTTGATGTTCGAAAGTGTTGTACGGTTTACGGCTTAGGGTCTAGGATTTAGGCTAGACGTATACAGGTCTATCTGAGGGTACGTAGGGAATGGAGAAGAAAATGGGCATTACGATAATTAGTCCAAGGTTGGAACTATGGGCCCCCAGTATTGGCCCTCAATGCTGGGGATCCTTATATAGTTAGCATATACCCTATAAGACCCTAGTCACCCAAAACTGTGGGCCCGCAGTTAGGACCCAGGAAACAGGTAAGGGTCCATAGCGTAGGCTCAGGTTTAAGACCTTAAACAATATTTGCTGGGTTGGCCCCTAAAACCTTTTGAAAAATATTAATATATAGGGTCCCTTATTAAAGCCATTAGGGAAAATATTAAATATCCCAGGGGCCTACCCAGTTTGATGTGTAGGTTTAGGTTATAGGCTTTCGCTCCAAATCCGGGGAGCCTTGGAACACGTTGCGATTATTTTTCGGCACTGTCGCGGTCCCACCGAAGATGATGTAGGAGTTGGTTTCAGAAAAGCACGGGTTGTTGCGAGCTTCGTAAAGAGGACACCCTTACCCTGAAATATCCTGGGCTGATATCGGGGAGTTTGGTGGGATTGGTACTAATCAAGCTTCAGGATTATGAGTTGCGGGTAGTTTTGGGCAATTCCCATATCTAAAGGCAAAAATGACAGAGGGCTCCAGGGAGCTTAATATTTACATATTCAATTATATATATATATAGATGGAGGTGTCATGCAATCACGCCACTGTCCCAGCGCCGGTGTTATCACTAGTGTTTAATTACAAGCCTTCCACTGGGGGCTGTCGTGATCGCACAAGTAAAGCAGTTGATTGACCTAATCCCAAAATCCTAAACCCTAAACCCTAAGCCAAGAAAACTCAAAATCTCAAAGCCACAACTCCGGCATCCCTGGCCCCAAGGGTCCAGTATACAATAATGCGAAGGCTCCATGTATAGGTCCTATGTACAGGCTTCAGAGCCTGTTTTAGGTTTAGGGTTTATGGTTTAGGGTGGGGGTACATATTTTAGGTTTAGGGTTTATGGTTTAGGGTGGGGGGTACAAACTATTTACAGACGTAGAGGCCCAAATTAATCATATGCTTTGGGATCCTTGTAGCATTGCTCGTTGTGTGGCTTAGTATCAGATAATTGTACATAATTATTAATTAATTGTATAAGACTGGTAGCTGCTGGACATCCCAATTGCTCAAACCTCAGGCGCCCTTGTCTGCCAATCTACTCCTTTAGGTGGAATACCCTCCCTTCTCTTCAATACCTTCCACAAGAACTTGGTGATGAACAAGTTCGAGAATAGGATGCTGGATGACGATGTTGTTGACAGAACCACGCACTACCCTACATATCTAAACTCTATGAATTCTGGTGCTAAAGCACACCTTGAGGAATCATGGGATTTTGTCCGGGGCACAATAAGCGAATGTGGAGCAACTGGCGCGTCGGCCATGGCGAAAACGACGAAGCCGCGGGGAGAGTTTAGGGTTTCAAGGTGTTAGGGGCCTCCAGGCTAAGGATTTGAGGGCCTTGGGCTCAGGGTTGGAGAGTTTCGGGGTTAAGGTTGAAAAGAAAATGCCTTCAGCCATGAAACGGAAGAGGTGGCTGGCTCGAGGCTCCTGACTGGTAGGTAAGCAGAAGCCTGGGTTAAGGGTGTGATGTTTGGGGCTTTCACGCCGTCAACTCTCGTGTTCTGCTTGCTCTCTCCTGCATGGAAACAAGACGTGAGCACAGTGCTGCGGTGTTGGGTTCTGAGTTGCCGCCTTCAGTCACTTCTCCCAAGCAAGAAGACTAACAAAACCCCTCACCGCACGCGTCAGTGACAAAAAATATCTGAGATGTATGGGTACGTTATTGGGAATATGCCTTTTTAGTAGGTCGGGGCTTTATGATGAGGGAAGGAGGTTCACGTGATGTGCACAGGCGGGCCCCGTCTACAGCCTAAGTGAGGCTACCTGTGGAAATTTCATGGTTGCTTCGGCATGAGTGGCACATAGCCTTGCAGAGCTTCATTATGATGTTGAGATCCAAAGGTGGTGTGAGTAAGCAAGCCTGCCCGGCATGATGTTCCTTATGGGCAGGCGCCAGGAAAGTTGTGTGGCTACTAGGGAAATCCAAGTAAACTAACATTCCATGGATACATAGAAAATAATGTCCCGCAAGACAGAAAATGTGCCCTAATTTTGCAGTATCGCCAAAAAGCACGTGGCCAACCTCCCCTCCGGAAGTGGCAGCATACGAGTTCATCAAAGCAGGATCAAGCAAGCGCGCCCATAACCTACATCGTGGGCCGCTTGAAAGAGACCAGAAAAAACCAACCCTACGTGTCCATGGGAGGCTGCAGAAAAACTAACGCCCCCTTCTGGGACCCCCTACAATCCCTACAATGTGGATCTTGCTCGATCCCCTAAAACCCTAAACTCCAAAAAGCGTGATCCACTTTGGAAATTGAGGCTGCTGCAGGTTCCCGGTTGAGACGCCACTGGGGCGGTCCACTGCCTGTAGGATTTGCTTTACTGGATTCTTATTGGAATACCGTTTAGGGTTCAAGGGTTTAGGGTTGAAGTTGCATATTCTTTTCCTGGCTGGGCTGAACTTAAATGGTAGAAACCTCAACCTATATCCAGCCCGACCCTAGAAAGTTTGATGGCTTATCTGGGCGCTCTAGGGTTTAGAGTTTAGAGCTTAGGGGTTTATGGGTTTTCTTCAAGCAGAAGTGTCCTTACGGGATCCCACAGGTAGGAAAAAGCAGTGCGGAGTTTTAGGAGTCCTTCTGGGGACTATGCCAGAAAGATGTAAAAAACT